AAAGGAAGGAAGGAAGGAAGGAAGGAAGGAAGGAGGGAAGAAAGAAAGAAAGAAAGAAAGAAAGAAAGAAAGAAAGAAAGAAAGAAAGAAAGAAAGAAAGAAAGAAAGAAAGAAAGAAAGAAAGAAAGAGTCATACAGTGATTATATCTTCCATGCTGTGTGATGTGTTGATGTATCATGTGTTGTGATTTTTAACTTGTTCCTGGTTCTTTTTTCTTTTGGCAGCTTTTACCGAAGTGGAATCTCTCATGCCTTTGAAAGGGGCCCAACTCTCTAAAGAAGAATTGATCCATTTCAGTCAACTAAGCGGTAAACGTCCAGGAATCTAAATTCTTCCAGTGAAAGCCAAGAAAATGTTCTGGGAGTTAAGAGAGAGCTGACCCCTTTGCAAGAAGCTCAGAATTAGTTCTCTCAAGCAAAAAAATGGTAACTGCAAGCACTTGATGAAGCCTTGGTGAACGTATTGGCAGTGTTGGCGTCAACTTGTAGACCAGGTTGACCAACTCAAGGCTGGAGAGTCTCGAGTTCAATTCCTGGGAGTTCAATGCTGAAATCCTCTAATGGAAGGATCCCAAATGAGGAAAGATCACTTCCTTGCCATAGAACAGGGTCTCTCAACCTTGTCAACTTTAAGAAAGATGTGGATTTCAGCTCCCAGAATTCTTGATCTTCACCCAACTTAAGGTTGGCAAGGCTGAGAAATGCTCCTATAGACCATCAAAGTACAGTTAGTCCTTGACTTACAACAATTCATTTAGCGCCCCCCCAAAAGGTGACTTATGACTGTTCCAGCATCCTGACAGTCACGTGATCAAAATTCAGATGCTTGGAAAGTGGTTCGTATTTATGACGGGTTGCAGGGGTCATGCCTTTTGTGACCTTCTGACAAGCAAAGTCAACGGGGAAGCCAGATTTAATGACGGTTGTGACTAAACTTAACAACTGCCGTGATTCACAGGGTCAAGAAAGGTCATAAAATGGTGCGAAACTCACCTAACAAATGTTTCTCCAAGCCACCGAATTTTGGGGCTCAGTTGTGGGTCGTGAGTCAAGGACCACTTGAAAACAGCCCTCATTTAATAAATGGATACTGTATTTAGTATCAATACTCTTCTTTATCTTAGTCTCTTCTCCTGAAGACAAAGACAGTGCAGATGTCTTGAAGGCAAGTCCTGAAAAAGGTAGGTGACCTGGATTTAGCCAGAGATTTAAGATGGTACCATTGAAGTCTGTCCATCATGAAAGTATGAGGTGGTGTGAATGTTGTGGCCTGCTGGACACAGGACCTTCCAGCAGCCAAATCAGAAGAGGAGGAGGGGGATTGGGAGTCAGGGTCAGCATCAGGGCAACCTGGGAGCTCTGAGGGGGAAGAGGGAATGGAACTGTCAGAGAGAGAGAGAGAGAGAGAGAGAGAAGGAGGAGGAGGAGGAGGAG